ATCTCTTAAAACAACTGGCGCTTCCCCTTTTCCCCTGTGTGCTCAGGGTAAGAGGTAAGAAAGTAGATTTAGGGACAGTTTTTAGGAAGGAAGAAATTCAAGTAAAATGAATAGCTACTTTGATCATGAGCCATTTCTAAAGTGTAGCCTGCAATGGTCACATATTGCACTACTGTCCAACTAAGATGTCCTAACCCAAAATCAAATGTTTTTCATTTTATGTATTTATTTATTTATGGTGGGCAAAACAAAACTGAAAATGTTAAACTATAATCCTAAAAACAAAACCTAAGATTTTGACTTAATAACTCAAAATTTCTTTTCATTTTCTTGTTTTCGAGTCAGAAGTTCCATTTAGGAAGTCAACATTTGTAATTATGTATGACATAAAAAATATATGAATAAAATAAAGTTTTGTGGTGGAAGGAGGGTTCTATAGTTGTACAAACAGTGAAATGAGAAAGGATGATATACCAAAGAGACAGAAGGATGTAAAAGGTATAATATTGGGGGTAGTGTAGGAAGTAAAAAGGCAACAAAATCACATGAAGATTGGACCTTCAAACTAAAACAGGATGTAAAGTGAAAGTGGGAACACAGACACAGCAAAGAGGGGGAAAGTGATGATAATAAAAAATAATCTCACACTAACATTAGACAAAATGCAACAGTTTTACATACCTGTTGAGCAACCTGATCAAAAAGCATGGACAGAGCCAGAGCTACAACCCCCACTCCTCCACAGGTTACCCTGCTGCCCCCCAGCTTCGCCGTCAGGTTGAGGTTGAACGTGCTCTGCTGCTCCATGCTCATGCTCCGCTGTAAGAAGTTGTACTGATGCTGCAACGCTGCTGACGAATCCAGCGACAGGAAGGTGGTGAGAACAGGATCCAAGGAGATATCAGGGATGATGCTGGCATCTTGAGCCACCGAGAAGAGCTCCTGGACGGTGGCTCGAGAAGGAAGACACAAACTGCGGCCCGTCAGGATCATGGCTGAATCTGTCTGTGTGTGCTCAGTGTTATCAGTGTTTCTAACCCACTGTGTGTTTATTTGACCCAGTCCGAAGGATGTTATCAGCACGGCCAGTCCTATAAAAGAACTCATGAGCAAAAACACTAATGAGCGAACCATTTGCTCAAATAAAACAAAGTTTTTACACACATACATGTAGCTGCACAAAAAGCTTGTTTTTTATGTTGGTGCAAAGCTGTTTGAGTCAAACAGTGACTCTCTTGTGTGCTTTTTAATTTCCTGTCTCTAAATGTGCAGAAGTAGGAGTGGAACAGCAGAAGCAGGTGGTTTGGTGCTCATTTTAGCATCAAACTATTTATATTTCTACAAAGAAAGCAGTTTCTGTACCCTTAAAGAGAAGCGTAACAGTGGGTTGGTTTCACTTCCCTTCATCCTTGAAGATTTCGAGTCTGGTTCACCTCAGTAGTCAGATCACTCTCATCATGTTCAGTCAATCACTGAAGTCAAAAATCTTTCATAGATTTTATTGCTGGGGCAAAAAGGAAGCAGAGAAGCAAGGAGTCCATACCTCTCATGGTTTGTATCTAAGATTTGTATGATCAAAACTCTGAGGTTTTTCTGTCTTTTGAAGAGCTGAGGAATAAATTCAGTATAAAAAGAATAAGTTACTTTAAATGTGATTTTTCTGTATATAATGTTCTGCTTGAGCTGTTTCTCTTTTATCTACATACACACAGTATACTGTATCTCATTTCTTAACATTTTGCTTCCTTCAAAAAAAAACTTTGTTCACATTTCTTTAGTTGAATCTACAAGAAATTCCAAAGATTTGACATTTGACAGGGATAAATTGCATTTTTGGACTAGCAAGGTGATTCCACAAGATCTGTTAGCTCATATCCTATGGTGTGCACTGTGTCCCTAAAAACACTTGTGGAACCTGGACAAATGAGGGACAGAAGAAGACATGGCAGCAGTAGAGGAGTAGAGTAATATTTTTTAAATGCCTGTCAGGGCATCCCCACCGAAAGTGGGGGCCTAGGTAACCCTCTACCATCCTTTCATGTGTCAATCAATCACACCCTTCACTCTCATTGGTAGTCTCTTCAGTCACTTGCCTCAAGGCAGAGGAAAGTTGATCTTTTCTGTAGACAAAGAATAGTTGAATTGTTTTTATGTTGGAATCAATGTGGTTAAAGCATATAAGCCAATAATTTCATTTTGTTATGACATCATCCTGCTGTTCTTTATACCAATATCTCATTAATATTCTTTAATAGATTAATTACTTAAGTGGATGTCATGCCGTGTTTATCTCACTGTTGGAGTCTGATAAGGCTTTATTTTTCTGTCCATCTGGTCTTGTTTTAGCTTCAGATTGGGTCTCTTTTTCTCTTTTTCAAGACAAATATTTTTAAATTCCTTGTACCTGACTGCTTTGTTTGAAAGTGCTGAAAATGATAAAATGCCTGAGAGCTTTGATAAAATTAAATCTAGCCTTCCAGAAGTCAGAAGTGCCAGGTTTATTTAAAGGTCAATAAATAAACGTAATCAAAATCTGAGCTCTTTTGTAATTAGATCGACATTTAGACACAAACACTGATCATTAACCTCGATGTCAATAAACAAGGTTCACTGGGATGAATTTACTGTGCTGCCCTTCGGCAAAGTCTGAGGCTCAAATAAAAGACCATACCAAAGACCACCAAGCTCATTTTTCAGTCCTAATATTTAGCTAACAGCACTTCTTGGCTGGGCCTAGGAAAGTGACATCAGACTCTTGCCCATTTGTTTAAGCTCCTCAAGATTCTGTTTATATTTTTCATATACAGAATGAACAGCATACTTTCTCTATACAGTCCATACATTAAATTTCTCTTCAGTTTTTCCGTTTATAATATTCAAAGTCTTGAGTTTAAAGTTTTTATGGTACTCTGTGCAGTCCAGGACCCAAATGCAGGACTCCAAAGTAAACAAGATAAACAAAAAAAAAAAACACCTTTATTAAAGATCAAAGGTAAAAGTCCCAAATACACTTCTCCAGGGCAAAAGCATGACTGTTGAGTAGGGACACACAAGAACAACAAGCAGGGTAAATTAAGACACTGGCAAGGGGGAATTGAGGGCTATTAATAATCACAGAAAACACTTAAGGTTAATCCGGACGATGAAGCACAGCTGGAGAACAACGAACAGGTGAAACTAATCAAAGACAATGAGACATTAGAAATAAAATTGAGGACAAAGTGGAAGAGAGATCGTCTGTTATCTCACTTCCCATACCAAAATAAAATGGGAAGTGAGATAACAGAGGAACAGTATAAGAGCTTTGCATTGAAATGCTGTGGTTTTCTCCAAATATGGTGCTGTACATTATGGCCAAACATCTTCACTTGTTTGGCCAAGAAACCCCACGACGTCCAAGAAGTCGTGCGGTTTGCTCAGATGTTATGATGTACTTTTTCGAGAGAAGAAGCTTTCTTCCAGACAAATTATACATAACAGTTCCACAAGCATGCAGAGTCTCGTTTCTATATTGAATTCATATTCTATTCGATTTTATTTTTAGAGCTCCAAATCACAACAACAGTTGCCTTAACGCGCTTTGAGGCAACTGTTGTAAACATGAATGTAAACGGTTTCAGACGTGCACCCCAGGGGTCTGCCAACTTCAAAATGTTTAGTTTCAGATCTGTTGTTAACTTACAAGAACACTTTATGTGAAGGTTTTGCGCCTTTCTTCTGGGAGGTGTAAATTACAATGAACATGTAAGGACGAGAGAGTCAATGGGTGCGCGAAAAGTGAGAAAGTCGAAACTGCATATTGTGTATGATCTCAGCCTGTTCATCAATATGACAACAATAACCCATCCTTTAAAATAAGTCCTCCATCTGAAACTGAAGGCACTCTAACCACAATCCTTGGTTAGGAGAGTCTTGTACGTTTCTACTTCCGCTCTGGGTAGTTAAAATGAGATATCGCGTAGCTGCCGGACTTCCGTGTTGTCTGCGTGATGACGTAGTCGTCCGGACCCTCACGGTCTGGTCAGCATACCGGGCACAAACGCATCGGAGGCGGAGGTCTGTTTCCAGCTCCTGGACGGTGAAATCACAAACAGGTGAGTACCTGATCGGCACAGCGGGCACACGGCGTGTTCAAAAAGTAACAAAACAAGTAATATTTTTATTTAGCTGCCTTATTTTCCTGCGACGGCCGTTAAAACACAGCTGGACTGGCTGCTCGATGACCTCCAGACTCCAGAAAAATTGAAAGGGAAACCTGATTGAAAGCTTTAAGGACTTGAAGGAGGGCTGAAATTTGTTTTGTGTGTATTTGCGACGGTCTGATCTTAGCTAAATCGACCACCCGTGAGAGATTTGGGTGATACAAAAATACAGGGTAGCGAAACATTTTCATAAGGCGGGTCATTCTTCACTGTTTGAACTGCTCGGGAGCTTTAAATCTGCCCTGAAGCTGTAGCTGGAACGTAATAACGGTTTAACAAACCGTCTTTTGGAAGCTGGAACAAAGAAGCAGCTGGGGGGTGTCGGGAGTTGCAAGAGCGTTCATGGCCCTCTTATGCTTGTAATGGACAGGGCAGCGCCCAGGATCACGGCAGTGGGGGGCCCACAGCAAATCAAAATGCTTGATCAGGAGAAAACCAGATGTGGAAACCGCTGCAGCCCTGTGTCCTGCAGAAGAGTTTAAACATTGTTTTGTCTTGAATAAGAAGTGGATGATCTGATATCGTCGCGTTGGTGTTGATCTTGGAACAACATAGTAAATGTTGTTCCAAGATCAATATTGCAAGTGACTAATCTCATTGTTGTGACGTTATTCTTTGGCGCGCCAAGCCATTCGTGCATTTATGAAATTCCAGTGTTGCAAGGACAATATCAATTCTGCTTAGCGTTTATTAAAGGGTTGGGGTCAGGGTCCGTTGATCAGCGGACAGAGGCGGTTTCTCGCAGCTTAAGTACAGTTTTTTGTTTTAGGGCGGTTTTTCCTGAAGTCGCAAAAGTATGACGCCACAACATTCTGATTGGTCACTTGCAATGTTGATCCTGGAACAACATTTACTATGTTGATCTGGGAACAACACCAATACCACGATATCAGATCATGCAATAAGAAGTCCAGTAAAAGTCACACCCTGCTAATCAGTCTTAGCATCAAAATATACTTAAAGAGTTAAAGTACTCATTCTTATTAGTAGGTCAATATGATTTATTAATTTGTGTGTACACACACACACACTTTCAACTTGGGACTTGGGACACTTACATGTGTGATGTGCTATAAATAGAAAACAGCCTCAATATAAAAGAAAAGTGGGAGCTTGGATTAATGATAGGGTGGGGCTAGGTTTCACAGCGGGTTCACCTGAAACCTTAGCTGACTGTGACCTACACCCATTTTCACACCTGGGCTCCTGTGATTCAGTAGAGGATCAACAGGGGGCCCATGTCTCTCTTGGGGGGACACTCGCATAGGGCTTTAATCTGGGACTCTCCACCATTTGACCCTAGAACTGAAGAAGCTTCTTGGATGAGAGGTGAAACGTCTTCAAGCAACTTAGAGAAGTCCAGACGCTTTTCTTTCCAGCTCCTTAGACTCCGAGCTTGGATTAAGTGTGTCCACTGAGGACAGCGCCCGGGTGGACATGTGTATGAATTGTCACAAAGGTATTAGTAGTAATCTATGGGAAAAATTTTGATTGGAAGAATAAATTAGAGTTTTTAGAGACTCTCAGGTCTCAGTATCAGATAAAGATTGGAGGAGCTGCAGGTTCATTGGGGATCATGTCTTCTGGGCCTGTCCAATAATCCGGGGATATTGGCAGTTGTTACTATGTTCCTATGGTGTTTGTACTTCCTCAGAGCGCTATAGGATAACTGTGAACTGGAGGAAAACATCACCACCCACAATAATCCAGTGGATGCTTAGACTAATATAGATAATTGAGTACATGACATCATAGGTAACAGTAATTCTGATGTATTTGAATGCTTGCTCAGAGGCCTCGAACACTGCATTTTTCATTAGTTTTAATTTTTATTATTAAAATCTTTGCTTTTACATCTTCTTAGTTTCAGCTAGCTTCTGTGTGAGTTCACGTGTTTCACTTTAGTTTTAATTTAGTTTGTAGTAGTTTCTGTATTTGCATCATCTGCTAAACGAAAAAAAAACCCAAAGAATTATTTCTTATGCAGAAATAATTCAGGAAACACAGCGATCCCATTATCATTTATTACTGCTGTTCATGCAACATTTATAGAATAATTATGAAGTTAAATTGAACAAAGTGAGAACTGAAACAAATAAAATTGCTGTAATATGTGCAATATTCTCATTCTCATGTTTTCAGACTGATGTAATTCAATCAGATGTAATAAAACTGGTTAAATTATTAAATTCCACTTCCACTTAGTGCTATTTGGCCTGCTGTGCCATTTGACTTAACTGACAGTAATGAAGAAAAGCTAACCTATGAAGATGAATTTTTAGCAAGTTTAAGATTCCTGATAGAACCTGATAGGCTGAGAAAGGCTGTTCCAAAGTTTATGTGCTACAACCTTAAAAGTGTGATTGCCTTGCGTGAGCACCCCCTAGTTTAGTAGATAATGTCAAAAAAGCAACAGAACAAAAGGCAGTTGGTTTAAAAAAAAAAAGAATGAATAGATATTCCACTACAATAGATTTCTACATAGCAAACAAAACAGCCTGCTTTGATGAGTGTTTTTCCACTTTGCTGCATATTGTCATTTGCAGCCATCTTTTGCCTGCAGTGTCGTGTTCCCTGCATTTTGGGAGCTCATGATTCTTACTGATTCTGAGAACCTGTCATTAGAGCCTTGCATTTTAGGTTCACCTTTGGAGTGGGTCGTCTGTATATCTATGCTTTAGGTCAGTGTTTCCCAACCTTTTGGAGCCACAGAACATATTTCACATTAGAAAATACACACGGCACACCACCAAACAATAATATCACAAAAAGCATATTGATATTTTATTTTCTGATCTGCTCTTTGGGCTGTTTATGGTTTGAGCTACGCTGTATTCTTACATCTGTTTAGACTCTGTTAGCTTTAGTTACCTGTGACTGAGGGTCGTATTCAGCTAGTTCCCATTTTGTGTTTTCATTCACTTCCTCCTTCTCTCGCCTGTTTGTCTTTTGACTTTAGGCGTTCCCCTGCCTTCCTCTTTCTTCGTTCAAGTCAAGTTAATCTTATTTCAGTTTTATTCTCAGTTTTCCTTTGTTGTGTCGTCTGTGTAGCTTTTTGTATTTCTAGTGATTTCTGGCTTTCCTCCTTGTGTATTCTCACATTTTGTTCTTTATAATTCTCTATTCTTTCGCGGCATTAGATGCTGACTAAGTTTGTTTTTCACCTGCTGCTCTTGGAGCTGTAAAACTATGAATAGGACATGCAAATCTTCATACTGGGGAGCAGGTAACTCTTAGATCATAGTTAGAGGTAATAAACAAGTGAAACTGGCTTTGTGTTCTACAGCGTCACAGACCAAAGTTTCTTTTGAACAATGCCATGAATTAAAGGCAGGTTAGGGTTTATCTGCTGTCAGGATCGCCAACCCCATTATGGTTGCCTGCTGCTTAGTGCGAATATACATTGACTATTTAAACAACAAGCAGAAATGTGTACATGCTGACATTTGACACATTGATAGTCACTCAGATCCATCATGGAAGTTGTTACAGTGGTAAATGTGGTATGTGTCCCTTTAGTCACACCTCTTGAGTAGCTAATCCCCACTTAAAGTCTTGGTTATAGAAAATCTTTTCAAAGCACGTTCTGAAACCACACTGCAGTGAAAAAATAATTAGCATTCATCCAAGTCAAGGCTTTTATTCTCTGTATCATGAATAATAATACTGTTAGATAGACGAGTTTGAGACACAGATTGCAGGTCATGCTGGCTGTTAGAAGAGCTGCAGGTTTAAGGCACTCTGCCATATGGTTCAGGTCCATCTTTTATATACAGTCTATGGTTAATTGCATAAGCAAATACTAATCAAACAGAAAATTAAAAATAATGCTTAGAAGTTATTATATATGGGTAAAAATAGAAACTGTAAATTATCAAAAATTCACCAGAGGGTGCTAAAATAACTTTTCATCCTTTGATTTCTCTCAACTTTCCTGTGATGGACTAAGATACAGGAAAAGGTGGAAGAAATCATGGATGCTGGGAAGTAAGGAGAGGAGAAAGACAAAGTGAAACTGAGTTACGAAGAGTGTGTATTAAGACTGTTTTTATTTTAGTCTGTGTCTGAGTGTTGCGGAAGAACTCGATAATTAGAGCGTTCCATTTTTATTGCAGAGTTTTATTAGTGTAGCGCTGCTGGACTGGCATGTTATTCCTGCCTTAACTGTGTGTGTAAACTGTTTAATAATCTGAGCTGCATAAGCAGGCAGCAGCGGGGAGATGGGTCTGACCAGCAGCGCATACAAACACACTAATAAATCAGATGATGAATTTTTCATCCCGTGTCGTCCAGCATTATGAGTCAGCGGACGGAGCGACGGGGGATACACGTGGACCAATCAGACTTGCTGTGCAAAAAAGGATGCGGTTACTATGGCAACGCAGCCTGGCAGGGCCTGTGCTCAAAGTGCTGGAGGGAGGAGTACCAGCGGGTACGGCAGAAACAGATCCAGGATGACTGGGCACTGGCAGAAAAGTAAGACCTTTAGCAGTCCTCAAACGTCTCCAGAGGAAAGCAAAGTGTGAGAGAGGCTAAAAGCAGAAAGACAGAACATTGTGCTAAATAGCTCCATTAATGAATGAACCACTTTATAAATCACCAGGTGCATTCATTTGAAAAGAAACAGACATGCTCATTGCAAGCTTATTGTTTCCCCTCTAATCAACTTTGCTTGGTTCCAGGCTGCAACGAGAGGAGGAGGCAGCGTATGCCAGCAGTCACGGTGTGCAGACTCAGTCCACAACGCCCCCGCAGCCCGGACATGCCTCGCTGGGTCCCTTCTCCAAGTTTGAGGAGAAGAAAACCAATGAAAAGACTCGGAAAGTGACCACCGTCAAGAAGTTCTTCAGCCCTTCGTCACGAACTGCTTCTAAAAAAGGTATCACATTCATTAACATCAATGTGTGTGCACTTGGGGTGCTTTGTGAGTGTTTTGTTGATCAACTCGCAGCTGCATGCTTTAGCCTGAAATAGTCAGGGGTTGGGATTAGGTGTATATTGGTGTTAGTGTCTTACCACGTCCATGCCAATAATAAGCAACTGCAGGAGGTTGTAAACATTTTTTAAGGTGGAAGGTTGTGGTGATAACAGCTCTGCAAATGAGGATGGTTACTGATGATAAGTCATCAGTGGTGGTTTAATATACAGCTGGAGGTCCCAAGAAAAATGAAGACTTCGGGAAGCACATGCTGACTTTAGAAAGTGGTTTCTGTCCTAAGAACAACATCTATATTCTTCCCCTGTCATCAGAGCACCCAGCTGCTTGCCACATTAAAAAATGGCTTAGTTTGCATAAAGCTTAGTTTGCTTTGGCTGCCAAAGCTGAGGAGAATTGCTGTTTTTCTCAGTCCATTCAGTTAAAAGAACCTGAAAGTAATATTTAAATGTTTATAGCTTTCCTTTGTTTTTAAATCTTAAGGTAGAAACAGATGTTGTTGTTCTAGGGGTATCATGCAGTTGTTGGTCAGAGGATAACAACAACTGAAGTTCAAACAAGGCATCAGAAGGATGAAGAAAGGTGATTTAAAAGATTTTAAACGTGGGATGGTTGTTGGTACTAGATGAGCCAGTATTTCAGACCCTGCTGATCTGCTGGAAGCATCTCTAGGGTTTAACAAATATAGTTTGAAAAGGAGAAAATCTTGCAGGAAGTCAGAGGAGAATGGCCAGAGTGCTTTGAGCTGATAAGAAGGCAACAGTCACTCAAATAGTTATTGTAGAAGAGGATCTCTGAGCTCACAGCATGTGGAGCCTTGAAGCAGATAGGCAGCAGCAGCAGAAGACCACCCTGACTGCCATTTCTCTCAGCTAAGAGCAGGAAGCTGAGGCTACAAATCACATAGGTTAACCAAAATTTTTAAAAAATAGTAGATTGGAAAAATGTTATCTGGTCTGTGAGTCTTGATTTCTGCTGTGGCATGTGGTAAGGTCAGAATTTAGTGTAAACAACATGAAAGCATGAACCACCCAGCCCTGTATCAGTGGTTCAGGATGTGTCCGGTGTCCGGGATATGTTCTTGCCACACATTTGGGCTCCTTAGTACCAACTGTGCATCATCTAAAGCCCACAGCCTAGCTGAGTATTGTTGCCAATTACTTCCATCCATTCACAGTCTAATCTCTTTAAGTTAAGTTGTACTTAATACAGTGTTCAGTGAATGGACATTACAAGTGTCCTGAGTTCCTCTGATGGTGTAAGGGGGGGCACTCCTTCATCCACACTTGATGTTGCACAGCATTTATAATAACTTGTGACAAATGACAAAAACATTTTTTGGTGTTTTGCTGTGAAATTTAAAGATTTTGCTCTGAAGAGGTAATTCTTGCAATTATTTAGTGGCATGACAGCTGTGTAGGGAGTTATGTGTCCTATGATGAGAGTAAGTAATACATGTTTATCTGAAGTACCTACACATATACACCTATTGGGGGGAGAATTATTTTTTTTTATTTTAAACGTGATTTTTTTTTTTCCTAACTAGAAACCCAAGAAGGTAAAACCAGTCCGTCCATCAGCCGCCACGCAAGCTTCGATACGGACCAAGTGTCCAAAGACTTTGTGGACTTCCTGAAAAACCTCCAGAAGCCCGGCCGGGAGATCCACAAGCAGTGCCGAGTCTTCCTCGTGAACATGTCAAGCAAGAAGGTGCGACGTACTCTGACGCTCATTGACTCAATGACACCAGTCGTTTACTTTTGAATGTTTCCATGACTTTCCACGCGAAGAACCTTCTAAGGTCTTTTGTCAACAGGACCTGGGTGCCGATGAGCTGTCAGAGTGCGTTCAAGATTTCTACCAGAATTTGGCCGACCGCCTGATGACTCACTTTAAAGGTAGGATTGCAGAAGTTGCAACTTTACCTCAAGTATTTATAACAATCATTAAGACATTCTCAATGCAAACAGTCTGAGAAGCCACTAGATGGCAGCACAAGCAGTATTTTATATGCTCTAATGTGCCTTTGTTCACCAGGCTCCTCTGAGTCTGTGGAGCAGGTGATGGACCAAGTGGAAAAGTACATCATGACTCGTCTGTACAAGAGCGTTTTCTGTCCAGAAACCACTGATGACGAGAGGAAGGACTTGGCCACACAGAACAGGATAAGGTGGTTCTTCCTGGACTGAACAACTCAGCACAGCCTGGTGTTTTTAGAATATAATATTTTATGTCACATTGTCATTTTTGTGGATTTTCCTGGCTTTGGCATTAGATTTTGTGCAAACATGGGGTTTTTATGTGTAAGCTGTGTGTGTGCCTGGTGAATAGAAAGCCTCAGTGCCCAGCGCTCGCCTTTAATCTTCATCCGTCTGTGAAAACTTCAGTCTGAATGCTTTCTGAGTCTGTGCAGTTGATTACACAATAGCCATTTTTAGCTGTGTTTTTCTTACATTTGGAAGCACAGTGGCAGCTGCTGACTGCACGTGTCTGATGTGTTTGTCACCCTGGAGCGAAGTGACTGTAACAAATGTGTATGGTTACATCATATGCAGACACACAAAATACAAAAAATAAGAGTGTCAGGCTTACGTGAATGAACACAATGTTTGTATGCCTTTTTTTTTGTCTCTGATTCTGATTCTCTGTGTTGCAGGGCTTTGCACTGGGTGACCATCCAGATGCTCTGTGTGTCCATGGATGAAGAAATCCCGGAAGTCTCTGAGAATGTGGTGAAAGCGATAACAGGTCAGCGAGCGCTCAGACGCGCTGTTTGATTGCGCTTGATCCTAGCGGTGCTGTCGTTTTGCAGTTTTGTCGTGAACTTCACAGAGACCAAAATCTGAGTTAAAAAAGAGTGAATGTTTTACTCCATCAGATAAATGATTGGTCATGAGTATCACTGCTGTCCTCACTTGTTTCTGCCGCACACAATGTGTCCTCATTAAAACAGTTTCGGGGAGTTAAAAATCCAAGTAAAATTGTACAGAAAATGGTTACAAACCACAGAGTCACTGGGTGCTGGAAGTCAAGTGGACATCTGTCACCCGCCTGGTACATGCTGTTGGAAACCTAGAAATGACTCCCAACCCTTTAAAGACAGTGGCCTACCCCAGAATGATAATAGACCCCGCCATTTCAGCAGAAAAATATTGAGGAACAGCTCGAGAAACACAATGAAGAGCTTCCAAGCTCCCAGAATTGCAATCCATCCATCTCCAGAAGCGAAATGTATAAATCCACCTGAATATGGGCCATCTCTCCTGTAGGGATCCGTTGCAGTCAAAGCCAAAGACCTTGGCGGTCTGAAACCCTGCTACTGAAAGTGATTGAAAATGTGAATTAGAACCCCAAACTAAAAACTGCAGTTCTTCTGATGGCCACTTTAGGCTGGCTCCAAAAGTGGCTCTGTCCTCATAGACTCCCATGTTAAAATCTTAAAAGTTAACAGCATTAAAAACCATATTTACAGCCACCTACAAAACATGGCTTTGACCTCTGTGAATTATGCCTTTTTATAACATGTCTATAACTTCACACACAGATGTGCCAGCAGTCCATGAGGGTTCACCTTCACTGCTTAGACTCACTTAAATTTAGTTTGACTCATTTACTCCATTTATGAGTCTTTTATTAAAATTGTAGGTGATGCAGCATGGGAAAAGGTGCAGACTGAGAAATCCTGACTGTGCACATCTTTACATCAATGTCTGCAAATATTTATCAAAATTAGGGGCAGGGATAGCTGAGTAGGTAGAGTGGTTTGAAGGTCGTGGGTTAAAATCCACTGAATGGCTATCCTGAGGTACCCCTGAGCAAGGTACCGTCCCTACACACTGCTCCCTCGGTGCTGGATTGGCTGCCCACTGCTTCGCTAGAGTGAATGGGTTAAATGCAGAGAGTAATTTCTATACAGGGATAAATAAAGTATACATTATATTACAAAATTATGTCAGAAAATATAGTTTATTGAACATTTTAACCATTTCTGTTGTTTAAACTCCAAATAAACAACATTTTGTCCCGCTCAGTGCATCCACACACATCTAGAAGGGCGATGGGGTCAGTGAAACTTGCCCCCTTTAATGACGCTGGCAACCTTTCCATCTTGGGCCTGAGGCAATAATGCTGTGTGCATTGCAGTTGACTGGCTGTTCTTGTAAACCTAGTGAGTTTTTATCTGAAGTTTAATCATTTACTAAAGTTCAATAATCCAAAGAACAGAGACAGTTTCACACAGTTAAGTTAAGCCTATCAGCCACTGCCTATCTACAGGGTCCTATCCCAACGGATATGAGCCACAGGACACCTCCTGATGGTTTTTGTAGCCCAGAGGGGACATAGGCTGTTTCAGGCAGGTGTTCTTAATATTGTGGAAAAAGAGTGTATATCTGCTCTTTTTTCTATGTTCTCCTTTGAGAAATAAGCAGCCTTTTGTCTGCCTTTGAAGAGGTTTTTCTTGTCTTTGTAGTCTTTAAAACTGAGCTGTATGGCTTTCAAACAGTCGCTCCATCCATCCTTCATGTGTAGAAATGAGCTTAACTTGCTAATGGATTTGATCTGGCAGCGCCGTGCGACGTCTGGTGCTGCAGATGGTGAAGACAGACGCTCTGCTGTGAATATATAATGTTCTTTAAGTGCCAGGATGGAAATAAGTCATTTGTAAATCATCCTTATATATATTTTACCTCCAGAGCAGAACAAATAAGTTTTACTTAATAAACGTGTGACCTGATTAGCTCTTTGTTTCAGCCTTCATGAGCGAATCTTGGTCTGTTCCAGATATCATTGAGATGGATTCGAAGAGGGTTCCTCGGGACAAACTGGCCTGCATCACACACTGCAGTAAACACATCTTCAGCGCTATTAGGATCACCAAGAACGAGCCGGCGTCCGCCGACGACTTTCTCCCCGCGCTCATTTACATCGTGTTGAAGGCTAATCCTCCACGACTTCAGTCCAACATCCAGTACATCACCCGATTCTGCAACCCCAGCAGGCTGATGACCGGAGAGGATGGATACTACTTCACCAACCTGGTCTGTTTTTCTTTCTTCTTGTCCTACTTCAAAGCCTGTTCGAGCTGATGACCTGGGGTCCAATGAGGGTAGTTTAACATGTCTGTAATAGTGTTTCTCCTGCCTCACCAACAGATTTTGAGGGGTGATTGTTCATGAGAGCACAATGACATCATGCACGAGAAAGGCAATGAGTCTGAGCTGCTTTACTTGAAAGAATTCAGTGCATTGAGTAAATAAACCCAAACTAACAAAAAATGCACAGAGAAAAAAAACGTGTAGTTGTAGTGTCAGTAATTTCCTTCCAGGATTCATTATAAGGAATCGATTTGTGTTGTTTTACCTAAGAAGTGTGTTTGCTTCAGGTGGCAGAAAAGCCGATTTAATGTGTTTTTGTATACTTAAGCTAAATTGGCAAACATTATGCATGAACATTTTTTGGTCAAAGCTTCTAAACTGTGACAAATTTCTGCTTCTTCCTGTTGGATTTTATTGTGAACGGATTAATTATTTATTTTTATTTTTTACTTGAGTCTCTGAAAGTTAAATTTGGAGGATTCTGAGAGATTTTACAGTAAAAATTGATAAATCCAGATAATGAAAAGTGAAATAAGTTTTGTGTTATAACTGTAAAATCAGAGTAAAGATTTCAGTGGTTATTTAGCAGCCAACACATCAATACACCAAACCTAGCAAACCTGCTAATTTACATAACATAAGACCACTGTTCAAGATGTGCCTTAAATGCTGGGAATGTGGAGCGCCTCTTTATTGTCTTTGCTGAGCTATTCGTGCACTTAGTTCCCTTTACTGACGGCACAGTTTGTCCAAATGTAATTAAACCCCTTAATGAATAATATCCAAATATATGTGGGAGTATGGAGTATTTAATGAGTGTTATGTCATAGACAAATACATTTTTCAGATTTGAAGGGCTTAAACGTCTCTGTCTGCTTTTTTTTCTTTTAAAGAAACAAGCATTATATAAGGTTATTTCTTATCTGCCAGTTTTAGAGGCACTGATAGGTGCAATCGCATGGCCTTCAGACAGAGCCACACAAGCTCTTCCTCACAAAGCTAAGCAGAACAACAAACACACTCAAAGGCCACTTTATTAGTTATACTTTGCTAGGATCCCATTCTTGCATCTTCACGGCATAGTAGGAACAATCCAAGTGTTACAGCAGAAACCGAGATTCATCAGACCAGGCAACATTTTTCCAATCTTCTGTTGTCCAATTTTGGTGATCCTGTGTGAAGTGTAGCCTCAGTTTTCTATTCTTAGCTGATAGGAGCGACACCCGGTGTGGTCTTCTGCTGCAGTAGCCCATCTGCTTCAAGGTGTGATGTGCTGTAAATTTAAAGATGCTCTTCTGCACATCTTGGTTGTAATGAGTAGTTATTTATGTTATTGTTGCCTTCCTAACAGCTCAAAGGAGTTTGGTCATTCTCCTCTGACCTTTGGCTTCCTCATTTTCTCCCAGAGAACTGACCGCTTCCTTTGGCTGTGTGGGAAAATCCCAGCAGATAATCTGTTACTGAAATATTCGGGCAAACGACCATGCCACGTTCAGTTTCTCTTATGTCATGTTTTGTCCTTATTATGATGCTTGGCAGGTCGATACCATGTGATTGGCCAATTAGATATTTGCATTAACGAGTGGTTGAACAGGTGTATCTGATATTGTAGCCGGTGAGTATATTTCCGAGTTGGTTTAATTGTCACGTGTGCTTATACCTGCATCCTAACAGGCTTTAAATGAGGCCTGCAGAGACGTTTATGTGACTCTTTAGAGAAGCATAATTGTCACGTCATGCACTCTTGTTCCCCAAAATGTTGGACTAACCCTTGTAACATAAGGCCATCTGGCTCTCTGTGACTCAGTTTGACGTGCTGTCAGAAAATCATCCATGATTTCAGTTGGTTTTCTTTTTTTTTTAAAAATTAATTAATACATTTTTATTTTTTAGTGCTGTGCAGCTGCCTTCATCGAGAAGTTGGACGCTCAGTCTCTCAATCTTTCCCCGGAGGAGTTTGAGCGTTACATGTCGGGCCAAGCCTCGCCAAGATGCAGCAGCGCAGAGGGCGAGTGGCCCCACACCGGTCCAGGAGCTGGCGTGGCTGCCACCAACCCTGTCCTGGCCCAGCTCAACCACAATCTGGAGCAGCTGTCGACCATCAGCAGCCGGCAGGAGAAGGTGATGGAGGCCGCTCAGAGCCTCCAGGCTGACCTGCTCTCCTGGACCGAGAGCGTCCAGCGGGAGGTGAACGACATCCTGGAAAAATATCCGCTGACCTGCACAGTTTCTTCCATTGATGCCAACAACATAGACAACGACAACCTGCCGCCGCCGCTGACCCCCCAGGTGTTCGCAGGGTAGTAAAGTCAGTAAAGGGAGAAGAAGCATTTCGCATGCCATGAAGGTACTTTACTTTGAAAATGGGAGTTTCCCAGTAGCCTCTGCACCTTAAATTTAAAGTGAAGTCATTTCAGTCAGAAAAAGGAAGAGAGAGGGGTGAGCTACAGGGAGAAGCTGCTTTTATTTGATTATTATTATTATTATTATAACTGTAACTATAAAAACACACTCCACGTACAACTGTTAACAAGGGATGCATGAGCTATGGAACATTTCTTTTTGTATACGTTTGTTGTATTTTGGGGCATTTTACATGGAAGTTTATGCTGACAGTCTCCATTTATGAGACTGCCTCATGTGGCCATTTATGGAACTGCAGGAACTGTATTTGGCAGCTCAGTTTTGGCTTTTAGCTGTCGAGGTTTCTGCAGTTATGTTGCACAGTTCACTTTTATTCAACACCAAATGGACAAAACAAAACAAAGAAAAATCAAATACATTTGAAACCAAATTTAGTAGGTTCATCAAAAAAGGTGTGGTCAATGGTCATTTTAGAAGAAAATAGGAACTTTATTAGGGAAAAAAAACCTTGTAAAGTGGTGAGAAAAAACAGGCTGGTTTGCATTAAAAACTTATGAGGAAAAGAAATGGCTAATTTCTCATAAATAAATGGTCAAATTACAAGGAAAAAATTGTCAATAAAAAACAATTTTTTTAAAAGAGTTTTAAGAAAGAAATTCATGAGAAAAACTGGACAAGTTTGCAAGGAAAAAATAGCAAATTTGCTGTAAAAATGTTTATGAAAAATAACAGGTAATTATGTAACCAAAAACAAACAAATTTATGAGAAAGAAATGGCAAAAATATAGCACATATTAAACTCACCAGCTGCTGTTACAGGCAGATGATGCTAACAGGCTGGAGAAGAGAATACTCGTGTTAGTACTAAATGATGATATGATATGAAATAAACTTACCTAAATTTACGTAACAATTAAAATAGATTTTAAGTGCGCAAATACAACAACCAGCTTCAGATGACTATCGCTTATTGTCAGCTGTGATTTCAATTTTGCTCTTATTAATGACAAAATAAGCTCCTAAATGATGAGCTTGTTTGCCCACATTTCTTTCCATGTTCACTCTTTATTTCACTAAAAAGCGATCCCACAAAAGAAATAAATTAAAAAGCAGACTAACGTGTGTGTGTGTGTGTGTGTGTGTGTGTGTGTGTGTGTGTGTGTGTGTGTGTGTGTGTGTGTGTGTGTGCAATTACGGTTTCCCTGTAACACCTTCAGCTGCCATTGTTATCTGCCACAGTCTTGAATTTTTGTTGGCGTGGAAGTTTAAACATCTGCAGGCCTGCAGATCGATGTTTTAGTCTGAGGACAGTTTCACGTTTGTCATTTTGTGGAGAAAAGAAATTCAGGTCTTACACATTTCTAACACAGAACCGCTTACAATTATCCTGCAAGCATGAATTTACCCTGAATACACACTTCAGGTTTTGTGTAATTTATGTTTCAATATTGTACTGTGTGTGGTTTTTTTTATTTGTTTTTAAAGATTTACAGTGTTTGTCTGGCTTTCTGCACCACATACCGGCCTCAGTAACAAACCATTGCAAAAATACGCATGTTACATGATAAAAATACTATTACTAATATATTTTAGATATAAATTTTTTTTAAATCTCATTTTGTGTACTGTATATTGTTAAAACAGTCCAGTGTCTGCCACTTTAAACCACTCCTGGTCCTGTTTCTGTGTTTATTTATTGACCGAGGATCTTTTAAGTACTGTCAAATCCAATAACATTGCTAGTCGCTGAAATAAAAGCAAAGGGATCGTATAAAAGCCTATAAAATGTGTGATTACTGTAAATTTACTCAGCTGCAAAAAGCATCTCCATTTGCCACATGTGGCTTGTTTAATCCTCAGTAACAACCGCTTGATCTTGAAAAGGTTTTTGCTGTACATTTCTTTTTCTCTGTGCCACAGAGCTCTAATATCGGAGCGACATGTTCAGGCAGTAGCAGCAGCGCCAAATGTGTATTAATCCACAGCTGAAACTAGTCCCATGCGATTTCACTATTCACTCTAAGCTACAGTTCCCAGCTATTTCATATAAATTTTATATGTTTGTGATTTTAAAAAATTGATTTATGCCTTAAGATGTAACTGAAATATTTTGAGTGTGTATGAAAAATAATGAAATCTGTTGAATTGAAATTGAAAAACAATGTGTGATGAGCCAGACTTGTGAAGTAAATCTGCTACTTTAACTTTAACTAATACTTAACTAAAGTTTTAAGTAAATTAAAGTGAAAACTTCAGATGAATCACATGAAAAAATTAACACAGTTAATAAATATTGGAGTGATGGATGATGTTATTTTGTTTTTTTAATTTTTTGTTTGTTTTTTTCTGAGTGGAATAAAGAAAACAAAAACAAATGTTTTGGTCTTGTTCCTTATTCCAGGGTTGTCAAACAAATGGCCCAGGGACCATGACAGGCCCACCAAAGGGTCCAGCACGGCCCACTGGGTGACTTTGAAAAAAATAAAAATTTAATCGGTGAGGAAATTTTGACTTTTAATGTTATTTGTTGTAAATAATAGGACATAAAAACAGAGCTGAAATTGTTAATGAATTCTGAGCCAGAGGTTTAAATCATTGTTAGTTTTACAGCCGCCCTGCGACAGACTGGCGACCTGTCCAGGGTGTACCCTGCCTCTCGCCCTATGACAGCTGGGATAGGCTCCAGCGCCCCCCGGGACCCTGAAAAGGATAAGCGGAAGCGAATAGATGGATGGATAGTTTTACAGCCACCATACTGACAAAGACCTCACCGATGGCGTGTACACAAAAATGTTAAAAGCATTAACCCTGTCAAGACTGAACCATTAAATGATTACAAAAAGTAACCATTTAATGGTTAAATCTGGAGTGTTTACTGAACAATTTGGCAATTTAAAAACAAAAGAAACATCAATTTGAATTTTTATCATTTTGGCCAAATCCAGCTATTTTTGTGCAGTTTCAGATTTATCAGCAATTTCCTTTACAGAGGTCTCATGTATCAGAGATCAGGGTTTAAGTTTTTGTTCCTAGTATTAGCAATGCATAAAATAACAATGCTGGTTATTTAGTTTTTCCAGTGGAGCTGAACACAGTTCTGCTCAATAGTAATTTTATCTCTTCATATTTCTTCATGGGTGCAGCCCTCCACAACAGTCTCTGTTTCTGTGGCCTCTGCTAGATGAACCGTTAAACGCCAGAAAATTCACACAGTAAAAAAACAAATAAAATTCTCTTTTAATTATGGGTCATACTGCAGGTAACGAGCTGCCAGTGTCAGTATGTGTGGTTAAGAAACAGGCTGTCCATCATCAGGTAAAAGGAATAACTTTACACACTAAAAAGGTTATTAGGAAAAAAACAACAATGATTTTAACATACCAGACTTTATCTAGTCTGTGAACAGGAGCAGAAATACACTGTACACCTCCTTATCTGCTCCTTAATGCAAATATCTAATCAGCCAATCACACGGCAGCAACTCAGTGCGTTTTTTGTAGTCGTGGTGAGAATTAGACCTGCAGTAAACAGAAACTAAACGGTTAATTTAACCATGAAATATGAACCTAAAATCTGAATTCAAAGTAAAATTACATTTCTCATTATTTTTACTTTAATATTGCAAAATCAAAAGCATTTACCTAAATTACCTAAATGTACATCTACAAATTATTTTACCATCTCAGGATAGTCGAATCTTATGTTTTGTTGCCAGTTTGTGGTCAAAGTCAGCTTTTCCACATGTGCAAGTGAACAGATGTATGTCAAAAGAAGGAAAAGTTTTAGAACACCTTCTAGTGATGTTTACCTTCTCTCTCCTTTGCTGCAGAGAAAATGTTCAGTAGGGTTTAAATCTGGAGCCTGAAGTGGACACTTTATTTAAGACTGAGGCTGATAAAAGCTTTGGTTGCACCTCGGTGTGGCTGGGGGGTGGGTGTCACTGTCTTGTTGCAGGATGAAGGTCCTGCCAAAATAATCTTTACACTTCTAAACAACACCTGCTGCTCCCCCCCTGCTGTCATCTGTTCCTCTGTCAGTGAGAATGAATTATCCGAGTCTGTCGAGGATGACGGTTTTTGCTGCTGTGTGCTTCGCTGAGGAGCGGGAATGATTTGAGTCAAGGGCACTTTGTGGTTTTCTTCACACTGTTGGCTTTCCCTGGCTTTGGCAAAGGTTGCATTTATGCTCTCATCTGTCTCATAACTTTGCTTCAAGGCCAATTTTGGGTGCACAATACAAACTTTTTCATTATAAAATCTCCACATCACTGTCACACTTGTTTTGTGGTTATTCTTCAAAGCTTGGAGGATACAGTTTATTTTGAAGTCCATCACTAGTTTCTTTTCTGTTTTCTGAGCTTGATGTCAATCCTTTACTTTTTGTTTCCTCTTCTTACAGATAAGTTGTTTTTCTGTCATGTTCAGCTCTTTGGTCTTCGTGCAGCCTTCTGGCTCCAACTGATGCAAGATGAAAAGATGTGAAATAATGAAATGAAGGCTGGACGCCCACTGCTCTCACCTGCTGTGAAGAACTGATTCAAAAGGAAACACCTGGGCAGCGAGTTACACCTGCCACTGTGTTGCTTGCTAACTTTTGCACAAAAGACTCCAGCCTCTACTTTTGCCAGTTTGATCTCAGATTTAAAAGCCTGAAAGTACTAAAATCAACTAATTTTGATGTACTGTTTACACACTTTTGAAGTGCTGTGACAGGGACATTCATATTTCATCTTCTGTTAAGTTACAAACTAACAAAGATTAACCAAGAAAATAAATGAAGATAATCGTTACTTATGTTGATACCTCACTTTTGTTTGTGCTAAGCATTAGATTATCATAGTAAATTAATAAGAGCTTTATTTTTTGGAAACATATTTATGAGATAAAAAGGACACGTTACAATGATGCAGGCTTTGGTTGTGGGTTAACAAACTCACACCGAAACTTGTCCACCTATGTGGGTGTGCAAAAAAAGCAGTCTGTGGACTGGTGCGCTACATTGATGGACATTGGCTAGTTGCGATGTCAACCAGTGGTTTGTGGAAGACTTCACCATTTTGTTTGTAACCATCTGTGTTTTGGGAGGACAGAGTCACAAATGTGACGTGGATCTGATTGGCGAGGACCCATGTTTGCTTTTTATATGGTAGTCTATATAGTTGCTGCTTGATTTTAATTCATAAGAAACAAAAACATTTTATGAGTTACAGTGGTCCCTGTTATTGGAGTTACGTTCTAAAAATAACCCGCGATAGGTGAAATTTGTAGCCAGCTTTATTTTTTACAATTATTATAGATGTTTTAAGGCTGTAAAACCCCCCACTGCACACTTTATACACTTTTCTCAGACAGGCATGAATATTTTCATACTTTTCTCTCTTGTTTAAACACTCTCAAAGTTCAACCCTTCGTAGAAAAGTATGTCCAGTATTATAGAATTAAACCAAAGATCAAACCCTGTTTTCAGGTCCAGAACATGCGAATAGAGCAACATTAAT